CAAATGACCTGGCCTAGCATGCCACAGATGCAACCTAGCTATTGACTCCACACTCTCCGGACTACTAGCAGCAGATGCTTGTAAAGTTGAACGGATGTCTGCATCAAAGTAGTAGAGACCCCCATACTCGTAACCGCTCCCAATGAGTAGGAAAAAAGGTTATACTACAGTTCAAATTTTTGGTAAGTTTTGAAACAGACAAAAGATTTGAGGTGAGACTGGGAACATGTAGGACTGATTTAAGAGAGAGGTCATTGCTTAGGTCAACCACCCCTTTTCCAGAGGTGGTGGAGAAAGACCCGTCAGCAACTCTCATCTTATCCTGACCAGACAACAGTTGATATGAAGAGAATAAGGAGGACATATGTGTCATGTGGTCAGTTGCACCAGAATCAATAACCCAAGAAGTAGAGTCAATAGAACTAGTTGCACTAAAGGCAGAGACTGTACCTGATCTGGCAAGAGAGGAAGAAGCAAAAGAATTACTCCTTAGAGGGGCTAAAGCCCGGCTAAGGACCTCTACCTCACTAGCAGTGAAGCCCAAGGCACCGGCTCCAGAGGAATCAGCAGCCTGCCCCATAGGAGGAGAAAACACTGTTGGTATATTCTGTGAGTTGTCACCATTGTTGTTGGTGACAAGATTCCCACTTGCCGCATGACCCTTCTGTTGTTTCTTGTCCTTTCTCAATGCAGCTGGCTTCAGGTGAGGATACAGGACCCAACACTTTTCTTTTACATGTCTCTCACCACCACAATGAGTRCACTTRAGGTGCTTCTTGTCTGGATGTCTGTTTCCCTTAGTGGAGACCAGGGCTGAATGTTCTCCAAATTGTTCAGTTGGTTRAGTCTGAGAGTCAACTTGCATCTCCTTTCTCCTGACTTCTTCATTCCTCACCAGATAATAAACATGGTGTAGCTCGGGCAATTCATCTCTCCCCAGAATTTGAGACCTTATACCCTCATACACTGGGTCCAGACCAGCCAAAAACTTGAAGGCTCTGCTCTCTTCAATCTGCTTATCATGTCTCTCCTTGTCCTTGGCATTTTCCCAATCCAATATCAAGTGATGATCAAGTTCTTCCCAAAGATCTTCCAGAGTTGCAAAGTATGTTGCAACTGTCATATCACCTTGCCTTAACGCAGCAATGTCTTGATTCAATCTGTAGATTCTAGCATTGYTTTTCTTCTGTCCATAGGTCTTAGACACCTTTTTCCCAAATCTTGGCTGCTGTAGGAAAGTGATGAACAGTCCTGGCAACCCGAGGAGTCATAGAGGCAAGCAACCAGGACATAACTGTGGCATTCTCCTTGCGCCACACAGCATACTTTGCACTGCCAACCTCAGGTTCCTTCTTGCTCCCATCTAGGAAGCTTATGAGATCACGGGAAGTAATAAAAAGCATTGCGGAGACGGACCACTCCCTGAAGTTATATTCATCCAGCAGCAAACTTGTAATCTGCAAGCTGTGCAGATTAGGGTTTTCCAGGTTTGAAGACCTTGCAGCAGGTCTGTTATCCCTAGAAAAAACCTCTCCGGATATTGAAGACATATTGACTGCAGCCTCTGTGTTGATGACACTGATTAAGACTAGCCGAAGCAGTTCTGAAGCAATTCTGAAGCAGGTTCTGACTAGCCGAAGTGATCACTGCAGGTTCTAACTAGCCGAAGTGATCACAGCTGGTTCTGAAGCAGTTCTGAAGTAGGTTCTGACTAGCCGAAGTGATCACAGCAGGTTCTGACAGCTCACAACACAGTTTCAGAATTGCCAAGACTGTCACAGTTCTGAAGCAGTTCAGTTACAGCAGCAAATGAGGTGTTCTGGGCTGGTAACCGACCTGAAACTGAGGGCTCTCCACTACTGTGCTATGCAGACTCCACTTGAGCTTCGAGTACTGCGACTGTAAAGAGAGTTCCCCTCCTTATGGCCAATACTGGGACTGCTGAAATCAGTCCTCAACTAGGTCTGTCCTATACAGACCTCTCTTAGCAGCCGAATAGCTGCTAACTACTAGAAACAGTCTAGTAGGACATCAGCTTCTGGGTCTTACTTCCCTTGCGCCCTACTACCAAGGGAAACCCTAGGTTCGAACCTTGTGTTGTTCTCCTGCAACCCTAGGGTTTCACAGCAGCAACCCAGATAAAAGAAAAAAAAAAAAGAAGAAAGACGGCATGAGAGAGGAGATGGCGTCGGCTGTAACCAGGAAGGTGCTCAATCCTCTGATACCATGAAAGCTGAAATGCTGTAGCCGAAGTAGCAGAAGAGAGAAGAAGAGCAAGAGGTGCTGAGAATGTCGAACTGAACTACCCAGTCGACAGTACTGTTATTTATAGTACATTACAGTACAATGTTATAGGAAATGTCTGGAATGCCCCTGATTAGTGATGGGACACCCAGACTACTTAAAACAGCAAATAAACCTAGGCCCATTAACACAGGCCCAATACATAACAACTAAAACACAAATACAGACTAATAAGGACACTTAGCAGCTGAACCATCAATACATAAAACCCTTCAACCTAACACACCCCAGTAAAACGGTGTTGCTAAAAGGAAAGGGAGTCAGATCATGTATTACTAATCATCCTATCTCTCACTTTGTGTCCTATGACCATATTTCACCTTCATATCGTGCATTTCTCTCTTCTGTTGATAGTGTCTCTATTCCTAAGAATGTGGCAGAAGCTTTATCCAAACCTGAATGGACAGATGCAATGAAGGAAGAAATTGATGCATTGCACAAAAATGGCACTTGGAAGTTGGTGGATCTTCTTGAAGGTAAGGAACCAGTGGGATGCAAGTGGGTATTCACAGTGAAGCATAAGGCTAATGGAACTATTGAAAGGTACAAGGCTAGATTGGTGGCAAAAGATTTTACACAGGTATATGGAGTAGACTATGCAGAGAGTCAAAGACATTTGCTCCAGTAGCCAAGATGAACTCTATTAGGATTCTTCTCTCATTGGCAGTAAATCTTGACTGAGAACTTCACCAATTGGACATTAAGAATGCTTTCTTGAATGGTGACTTAGAAGAGGAAGTGTATATGACTCAACCTCCAGGTTTTTGTGCCAAAGGCAGTGAACAAAAGATGTGCAGGTTAAAAAAAAAATCTTTATATGGGTTGAAACAATCACCTCGGGCCTAGTTTAGTAAGTTCCAGTTAGCAGTTCACTAGATGGGGTTCAAACAATGCTAGTCAGACCACACTTTATTTGTGAAGAAAGGTGAAGGGAAAAATGTAGCTTTAATTGTGTATGCGGATGACATAGTGATCACGGGAGACTGGGAGGCTGAAATACAGAAACTGAAAAAATTCTTAACCATTCAATTTGAGGTAAAAGATTTAGGATCCTTACATTATTTCCTTGGAATTGAAGTTGCCCACTCTCAAAAGCGCATTGTTATTTCTCAACAAAAAAATGTACTAGATCTACTAGAAGACACAGGCAAGCTAGGGGTGAAACCAATTGACTCACCAATTAAGCCTAACCATCAGTTGGGAGACAGTCAGGGGGAGTTCTTGAAAGATGTGAAGAAGTTTCAGAGACTTGTAGGGAAACTCTTATATTTGTCTATGACCAGGCCTGATATTACTTATGCAATGGGTGTCCTTAGTCAGTTCATGCACAACCCTAGGACAACTCACTTTGAAGCTGCAAAGAGGATCCTTAGATACCTCAAGAAGTTTCCAGGAGATGGTTTGCTATTCCAGAAACATAGACATTTAAAGGTGGAAGTATATACTAATGCTGATTGGGCAGGGGCAGTCGATGACCGAAAGTCTACCAGTGGGTATTGTACCTTTGTAGGAGGAAACTTGGTCACCTGGAGAAGTAAGAAGCAAAGTGTGGTGGCTAGATCCAGTGCTAAAGCAGAATACAGAGCTATGTCTCATGGAGTTGCTGAAATCATGTGGATAAGAAACCTATTAGGTGAACTGGATTTTGCAGTTAACAACCCTATGTCACTCTATTACGACAATAAAACTGCTATCAACATTGCTGCTAATCCAGTCCTCCATGATAGAATGAAACACATCAAAGTGGACAAGCATTTTATTAGAGAAAAACTCGTGAGTGGAGAAGTGTGCACTCCATATGTCAACTCAGAAGAACAACTTGTAGACATCTTCACCAAGGGTCTTCATCATGTGTGGCATAATGATTTGTGTAACAAGTTGGGCATGATTGACATCTATGCCCCAACTTGAGGGGGAGTGTTGAAATAGTTTATTTTATTTCTTGTTTATTATTTTTTGTCTTGTTAGGGTCTGATTGGTAGGTTTAAAGTCTTTTTTATTTGTTGTTATTGTACTTTATTTACAGCAGGGGCACAAGGGTCTTTTTCCCTTTTATTTTAGTCACCCTATAAATATTAATTGAATTTGGCGCCGCCAGAACTATTCCATTGTCACCAATCTCTCTTCTTCCTCTCTTCCCTTCTCTCTCTCTTATTTCTAGTCGACTTTCAAGAAATTTTATCCACTAAAACACAAAGCAATAAGCCATTTAGTTTAGCCATTATCAAGTGGCCCTTAAGACTTAAGTCATATGGGTGGGACCCACCATTAGACAGGTCCAACATAAGAGATCACCCAAGAGAGAGAAAGAGATAGGTACACAGTCAATTGTATTCATTAAAGAGCAATAACTTCTCATTTATTGAAAAGAGATAGAGAAGACAGTACAAGGAGAATAGTAATTTCTGACAAAACAGGAATATTACAAGTTCTATCACTCCCTGGGCCTGGTGACCCATCCAAAAGTATCCAATACGTCACATTATCATTCCATCAGATGAAGTGATGATCACCTAGGTGGAGTCACTGAAAGGTGATGGTCATATCTCCTCATATATGTGCTACTAGTCCAATTATGCTTGCAATGCATGAGAACTTTATCTTGAAAATGCCACAAAAAATGGAATTGTGATAAAAGATCATTAACACTTAAGCAACTCACAGCAGCAAATAAGAAAGCAGTGATCTAGACATACATGTTCATGGAAAACAGATCCGTCTGGAGCAATCACGGATTCTTCAATACATCCCTCAGCACTAAGCATATGCAGTTGGTGAATTGCATCACGGATGCCAAGTTTACACTTTAGTATCTGCTTCTTTGCTCTTTGTAGTTCCTTTTCTGGTTTAATCTTTTCCCGGCTGTAAAGAAATTTTTTAATAGAATTAAAATTTTCACTCTATACATAAAAGATGAGATTAGAAATTGGGCCTCTATTTCACTGTAGAAACTTCTGTCAAAATAAGCAGGTTATCATCTTCCACTGCTCCCTAATGAACAATAAATCCAAGAGAGGCTGAAATTGTATCAATATTAAAAAAAAAAAATAACAGCTGGATAGATTTTCGTTTTTTTTTCCTTTTCTGCTGAAGCTTCTTCATTCAAAGTTTTTCTTATTGTTTTACCTACCTCTTCTTCTCTTATAAATAAGAATTTAATCTTTTGAATGATTACAGTTTCAGTAGTATAAGATCCATATATTTGTCAATGATTTTGGTTCATAACTCCTAGGTAATGAAACCTGGATTTCAATCTTGACCTTTTACAAGTCAAGTTTCAAGGAAAATTACATATTTTGTGGTTGCATATCATGTCTCTTTGGCTAGATATTAAGAGCTGATAAGAGAATTTAAGTAGAGCAATTTTATCTAATGATACCATGCTTTCATTTTTTTCAGTATCCAGAGCTGATAAGAGAAATTGAGTAATTTTATCTAATGATACCATGCTTTCGGTTCTTTCAGTATCCAGAAACATGATCAGGTATCACGATATTTAATCATTTGCTAGAAAAAAACAGGTGTTCTCTGGGAACGCATTTTGATTAGATCCTAAACCCAATCTTTTACCTTCTGGGGAAATCTAAAGATCAAAGTTTTCTAAGAGAGGTTTTTTTTTATCAATGTTTTCTAAGAGAGATTCCAAGAAGATGATTAAGACGTCAAAGATATTCTGTCGATTGAGACTCCCAAGCTGCGGGAAAAAAAAGTCAACTCAAATGCAGGAATTTGGGATTTTGGATTGCTTTCCAAGGAAAAGTACCCAAGGGGAAGAGGCTGTATAACTTCACTTAGCATTTCGGTATGAAATGCAAGAAATGGTCTCCCAACAACAGACATGGTGTCAGGTAAACTAACATGGAAAAACACTAATAAACTAGCATGTCAATATGATCAAGCTAAATTAGTAATCTTCCCCAAACTAGATCTGTGTGAACCATTTCTACTGTGTTTCCCAAAAGAAATAAACTGTCGCCACGATTGCGTGCACCAGATAATGCAAATGTTTGATCGAGTTTTTAGCATAAATTTTTCCTAGATATGGCTCATGTTCAGAAATTCCAGACTCTCACCACTAGCATAAATCTCTTGCTATGAAATTCCAGACTTAACTACATGATTGTCTTCTTTAAATGATAATGCCTATTATAAGATTATCCATACCTCTGTCCTTTCCAACCTTCCCCAGAGTAAGCATCAATTAGGTTCTGCTCCAGCTTCATTTTAATCAACAGGTACCTCGTTCTTCTTTGCAAGCGAGATGCCTCATCATGCTCTCCATTTTCCTTCCTCCTCTTCCGCTTTCTCCTCTTGTGAATTTTCTGAGTTGTGAAATCTTTATCATCACTCTTTTCATGCCCTCTACAGCCAACAGTCGATGGCTTCCTATCTAAAGCCTTCGAGGTAGACGGCTTCTCAGAGGAATTTCTGTCAGAACCTTTGTGCACAGTTTTTCTTTTTATTGGTTTTCCATCCATACGGTTATCCCTGGCTCCGTCACCTGGAAATTCTGTTATCCTTCTTCTTGAATGAGCCGAACCAATTCCCTTCATAATCAGTCACAGGGAGAGAGAGAGAGAGAGAGAGAGAGAGAGAGAGAGATCTTAGAGCTTTCAAAGCTTCAAACTGCTAACATCTCGCACTGAAAATTGCATCAGTACAAGTGTTTTCAACTGATGCCGTCAGATTCAGGTCACCGGTTTCCGCATTTCGTCAACCTAACGGTCAGTATCCACACTCTTCCTCAGTCAATGTGGCCATTATAAATGTAAGCTGCAATTTGTTATTTGCATCAACCAAACAATAAGAAACAAAAAAAAAAAAAAAAAAAAAAAAAAAAAAAAAAAAAAAAAAAAAAAACTAGAAACTGCAATAACTCAGTCAAGAAACAAGTAGGTTGATAGCAACACGACTAATCAATCATACATCAAAGTAAACTAATCAAGATCTAAAATTGATAATGAAGGATAAAACTTCTGCAATTAAACCAAATCTGAAATGAACTACGGAAGATTGGAATTATGAAATTCAAAAAATCAGAAGTGCAGGAGAAGGAAATTGCCCCAAAAGGGTAATAAAAGAATAAAATTGAATGCGGTGGATTTAACAGATACAAATAATGTAAGTGATAAGAAATAAAGTTTACCTTGGTTAGTGAATAAAAATGGCAGAAATTCAAACACAGATTATAGAGATTTATAATAAACAGGGATATCAAATGGTACAGAAAATAAATTTGAAATGCCACATGGTGCCAATCAAGGCAACTGATTTTGATGAATTTTAAACAAAAAGATGGAAGATACAGAGTATAAAGGGTTGTCAATGGACCAGATATTGGTCCAACCAGATTCGGTCCAACATATAATGGACCAGGTCCAATCTAATAGGATAAATATATTGAACTGGAATGGTTGAATTCAATGTCTTATTGAACTGTCCAACCTCTTCAAATTGCATCCAACCCAAATCTGGTCCATTAATACCCTTATTCTTATATTTTGTCAATAGATGGGATATTGGTTCAACCCAATCCAGCCTAATATAAATCCATTACAGAAGGATCAGGTCCGATCCAATCCAATAAATATACTTTGGACCATTAAGTCTGGACTGGTCCAATTCAATTTGTTTTATGAGATCATCTAATCCGTTCAAATTGGTTTTAATTTGGACGAATTCAACCCAAACCTGATTCATTGGCACCCTTAGTATAAATGTCATATAGGATTCTCAATTGAGCTAAAAGAGAATCTAACAACAAGAAGGAGATGGTATTAAAAGGGGACAAAGATAATCCAAAAATATAAAAGAGTGGACACAAAGATATAAACCCAAGTCTGTGTTTGGTTTGATATATACTAAGGGCCTGTTCATTTGCTCTGAAGTTTTACATCTAAAAGTGTAATAATTACATTAAGAGGTATATTGGTATTGGTGAACTTTTCTTTTCTCTGTACTCTGAATGCAGAGAATGTTGTTGTTTTGATCCCATATATATGAGAGTTTTTGTTTGTCTTTTTGGGATATCATTGGAAACAAAAAGTTGTATGATTGTACCTTAAGAGATAAGAGATAAGAGGAAATGAACAACTGATTTTCTCTTAAAGTTAAAAGATTCCTCTTAAGAGATAAGAGTTAAAAGAAAACAAACAGGCCCTAAGATACATTTTTGAGAATCTATTAGGTTGTGTTTGGTTTGATAGAAAATAAGATTGAAAAAGGAAATTAGGAGAGGTCCTAGAGGAATTTCGCAAATTTTGTTAAGAATTTTCCTTCAACCTTCTATTTATCTCTTATTTTCTATCAAACCAAATATAGCCTAGAAAAGTTGTGGAATTATTTATATTAATCGATGGATCATACTTCATAAACAGAACTAGCCAGGGTATATATATGTGTTTCTTATTCGCAAATCAAATATTCATGGAGAGAGTAACTACTAACAAACATGCACGTATACATATACAAATACTCAACTTTTACAAAAAAAAAATATATAATAAGTAGAGAAAAGAAAAGGAATTAATGGCAAGTTAATCCAAATTGGAAGAAAGAAACAAATGTAAACACCATAATTTAGAGTCTATTCTCACAAATTCTATTTAAATGCTAGAATACAAAGTTAAAACCTAGTTATGGGGGAAATACATAACTGAATAAACGAGTTAAAAAAGCTTCAAATCTAAACAAGCCAGCTATTTTAAATTTATGAACCTCATATTTCAGATCCTCATAACAGAATTTCAGTATGAAAAGTAAAAAGTTTTAATTGATTAGAATGGTATAAACACTAATGGTTCTATGAATTTCTTATTAAAGAATACCTAGTGTAATTATCAAGCTAAAGATATAAGAGAGGCCTTTTATGTTACCAAAGCCATAACCATGCATCAACCATATTTCAATGTGGATTGATGAGTATTTAAAAGACCAAAGGCAAAGGTAATGCAGTTGGGTGTTATAGTAGCGAGGCATTTTGATATTAGAGGGGCCTCAAGCCATTTTGAGGCATAGTTATTCAGCAAAACAAAAAAGGATATGATATATAAATAATAAAGACATGAAAAACATAAAATTAAGATTTTATATGGCTTATTTGGTTTGTTGTTTATGCCATTAACTCTTCGCTAACTTTGCTTCTAATTAAGCGTGTCGTCTTATTGCAATCGTTATAGACTTTTATTGTAGCTGCTGAGAACTCGAAGGTGGTTTCTTCCACTGTTTTACATTCACTTCCTCCTGCTCATTAGTTGGTAATGTATTAAAGGGTATAGATTGAATATATAACTTTAATGGGTCCCACTATGATATGGAAAAGATATGATATTGGAAAAACTTATGACCAAGTAGCCAATCAGGTGATATTTATCAAAATTCATGGGTGGATTTTGATTGGTCAAAGCTCTTCTCCTACTATAGCTTTTCCACATCATAGATTTTCCCAACTTTAATACTTACACATATACATTACTTCCTATATGGTTCGTTCCAATGTGTATTTGGTGCAATTGTACGATGTGCTTTATTTTGTTTGGTGTTGTTATTGTGTTTATAGATACATACTTTGAAGATAGAAAAAACAAAACAAAATAAATTGTTATCGAATTAAAATAGTAATCACAAGGAAAGATTGTTGAGCACTTGGGAGCAAGGCACTTGTACTTGTTGGGTATGTTCTTAATCATCACAATGGTTCTAGTATCTCTACAATTCGAGTCCACCATTGCGTTCTCATTGATCATGAAATGACCATATGAGTTCTTCTGTTCGTCCTTCCATGGCTGACTCTTTAGCTGCTTCGTTACTGCCAAAGAATTATTGTTAGAAATTGGGGTCATGGAAATTTGGAGGAAAAGCTCTTAGTTGTATTTAAAGACACTATCTTTAAAATGTCATTTGTCCCCACTCAGTTTTATTGAGTTTGCTATTGGGTTGCAGGTAAATTTGTTCCCAAGATACAATAGAGCCTTGGGTGAGAAATTACAACAATCAAAATTGAAAAATCTTCAAATAAACCTTCTATGAGACAATAGCAGATTGAACTAAGAGAGACAGAAGTAATTTTTAGTGAGAAATGATTGAAAACTTGTGTTGAATCAACTTGGTTTACATCCTTTATGTAAACGAGTAAGCACACATGTGCTTTGCATGTGGCAATTATAGATGATGATAATGATAGTAATAATATATCCAAAATTTTTTATAAACTTTTATGTTTTCTATGTTTTATATTTTATATTTTTTCTTATTAATCGGATATAGATTGGAAAATCCAAATCTAATTATATAAGCACCTCATCCAAATATTAGATAATCAAGTTGAGTTGTGAAGTTTCATGTATCATTGACAAGCCTACCTACTTGGTAGGGATGCAAACTGATTGGATCAAATTCGAATTAGGGTATATCCGAATCTGATCCAATACTATTAACATAAGATTCGATCACATCTCATAAACATAGATATGAATACAAATCCAATGAGGAAGTCCGATATTTGGGTCTGATCCATTCCAATTTAATTTAAAAAATAATAAAATATTAATATAACAATTTAAATAAAGAAAAACAAAAAATACAAGTACCTTTTCAACTATTTTCATCACATATATACATTTTTATTAAAAAATAAATAATCTAACAAATTTACAAAAATGCAATAAAAATAATATATATCGGATGGGGAGTGATCCGAATATGGTCCAATTTCTAATCGGATCCTATTATCCAACCTGATCTGATTTGAAGATCCGGACTGCAAATATCCAAATTCGACAAAAAGGATCGGGTTGGATCATATCTTATCCATTTGCACCCCTACTACTTGGCTAGATTCTTCATTTTGTAATGTTTTATTTTTTTGGTGTATCTTCTTTTGTTCATTTATCAAAAAAAAATGTAAGATTTAAATATAAAATGAATTGAATGTAGTGAAAAGTAGTAGTTCAATTTATAATTTAAACCTCACAATTAAATAGGGACTAAATTCAAAAATGAGTATTTTAGTGAAAAGAAAATTCCACAATCTTATTCATATTTTTAATAGTAGTGTAAATATAGAATTATAGATGTACTCAATTTTTATTATAGTTTTTTTATACTTTTGTGTGTAAAACTAATTCTGATATTTTACACTTACTTTTTGTTTAATAATATAAATATGTGATATTTTATTAATTTTTATTATTTATTTATGACATTAAAGTTTAATATATTTAATCCAAAAGTTGAACTATTTTCATTTTTTGGCTAGTTCTAAATTATGTATTTTATTTTCATTATTAATAAAAATAATTGTTGTTTATTACACTTATTTTTTAATTTGATTACATAAATGTGTCTACTTTTTCTACAATTTTTGTAATTTTCTATATTTATTTATATTTTAAAAATTTTATTACATAACTATGACTTCGTATATTGATCAATTTAATTCGGATGGTTGAATTGCTTAACCACCACTTGGATAAAGAATGGTTTTGTTTTTGAGTCAATTTTAAAATATATAGATTTATACTATCAAAAATATTGGCATAGATCTAATTAGTAGCAATTATTAGTAAAAATTAACTTAAAAATATAGGATTTAATAAGAGAAAATGGAATTTAATACCATAAGTATAAGACTTAATTAGAAGAGACTAAATGAGGTGGAAAGTAATAATTGAAGGTACATTTTCAACCCTTACAATTAGAGATGGATTAAATACACAAGTATGGGCATTTTAGTAACTATAAAAGCTGACATTAAAGCTATATAAAAAGACTTGTATACCCTTTCTCAAACAAAGAAATAGAGGATAACTTTAGTCCAAAAACTTCCACACTACATTCACACTTTTATATATAGTATGGACAAGGTTTAAAATTTCGATACGATACGCCCAATAGGGAGTGTATCGTATCGTATCTTTGAAAAATAGATACGGGATACACATAGAAATTGAACATTTCATCTTTTTTCATGTATATTGGGGGTGTATCGAGGGCGTATCGGGGCATATCGGTAGCGTATCTACGAAAAAAATACAGCAAAAAACTAAAAAAATACAGGGGGAAAATAAGCTTCTTTTCCCCAAAATAAGCCTTCTTTCACCCCCCCCCCCCCCCCCCCAAAAAAAAAAAATGACTATAAAACTCCAAACATCATTCCTAGAGTGCTAGATTTACAAAAGTTTGCATGAAACAAGTGTGAATCATTAATTCCTTTTAAAGATTTTTCAAATTTTGAAAAAAAAATATGACAA